TGATGACTGTGAGAAGAATAAGAAAGACACATACTTTACGTCTGTGAGAGTTTAATCTATTGTCCTTTGATCCTTAAGCTTGTTATGGTTAAAATGTTCACTGTTCCCAAGTGCCCAAGTGGCAGTACGCTCTTGGGCACATTAGCAAAGGGGAGGCGTCCGAACACAGGCGCCATCAGGCCCTCTGACTACCACCAGCAGGCAAGGAGTGTTAAGTGTCTTGTCCAAGGGCACAACAGCTGAATTCTCTGTAAGGAGCTGGGATCAAACTTGCAACCTTCTGATTATGGACAACCCGCTCTACCTCCTGAGCTACTGCTGTTCCACTGAGTATGGGAGGACAAGGATGGCATTTGGAACAGAACAGTACTCTGTTACACCATGGCAACAACCACTGCAGAATGCTATGGTTAGAGAAACCACCTGGAATAAAAATAAAAGGCTAATTTGTCCCTTAAATGATAAAAATATCAATGATTATATTTGTAAAATATTTGATCCACTTTTGATCAAAACTGATAAAATACCAGCTCATACTGTATTATATTTATAGAAATCACTAACGTAGATTTCCAAAGGAGTGAGAAAAACCAAACCATACCATTTTATTTCATATAGTGGATTTAAACACAGCATGCGAGCTGACCAAAGCGCTGCACAGCCAACGATCATAAACGGATCACATAAAAGAGTTAAAAACTGTCAATAAACAGCAATTTAAAAAAAGCCTAAAAACAAATTCAGATTTGAAAGACAACATTAGAATGGTCATTGTCCTAAAGCCAAATCATAGTAATAGGTCTTCAATTGCGACTTGAAAAACAAGGATATATATGGGAATTACATTGTTTTACGGCTCTTTAGGCTCCAATATAGCTGACGAGGGCTTATACTGATATGTAATTCTGGAGGTTAGAGCTGTTTTAAGATGGAAATGAATACACTTCAACCTTGTGGCGTTTGAGGTAATCATTAAAACTCACGTCCCACAAGAGTCATACGCTATGACCGGAGGCTGTTCAGGAAGCTGTTTACAATGGTAATTATCTTTTTTATAATAATTACTGATAACATCTAAAGTTCTCTAATTCTTTAGGAAAATGTCTTTACTTGAAAATTATTCACCAGAAATAAAATCCAACCTTATTATTAATCACGCGGACTATTACCAACCAGACCGTCTGAGTTTGGACACTCGGCGAATTGCAGAGATTTTGTAGAGTTACTTGACGCTGTCTACCCACATTGTGTAAACTGTGGCAATCAAATGCGTGTGGGGAAGTCGACATCAAAGGCACGCTTAAATACAGTACTTGAGTAATGCTATTTCGGTCCTTTCCACCACTGCGGCCACGCCAGCTGAAAGCCAGTAACAGAGTGATACGGTCAAAGTCAGCACATTAAAAAAAGGTCCTGAGTCTGCAGGAGTTTTCCCACTGAGCTCCTTCCTCACCGTATGGTGACCTCTAGACGGCACAAACCTCAAAGGGATGAGAGAAAAACGCTGGGTTACACAGACACAGAGGACAACTGCCACTGCAATGGCTTTAAAAAATGTGTATTTAAAAGAGAATCAGGGCTCGAAGGATGAGAGAATGAATCAGAAACACACGTACTGCAGCAGAATCAGTAGGTTATGTTTCCTGCTATGGCTGCTGCCAAAGAAAGCAGGTCTGCTTGGAATGAAAGAGCTCCAAACTCGCACATTAAGCAGGAAGGAATTCATTTCCTGTTGTGATATAAATACAGTCGTGCAATTAGTGTACTTGAGTGTGGAAAATACACATTTCCATCGTGCAAACTTAAGTAGTGCCCTGACTGTGGTGATTAGAATAAAAAAGTATAAAACAAAGGACAAGCAGCCAGTGAAAGATGCAAAAATGAAAATAAACATGAATTTTTCATGGAGGAGCCTATGACGAATGCCTATGTGTGCAGTTTTGACTTGCTATACATTATTCAACAAAGACTTGAGACCTGGAGTTTATTCCTGCTTTCACTAAAGATGAAGCAGCTTATGGTGTCATTTATGAATACATTGACTAAATAATTAAATTTTAACAGCTTTAAGATTATTTTTTTAAACATAGTTAAAATAATATAGAACTTGAAGTGGTACTTTGGATCTCCTGATGACGGTTTCTGTGAAAAAAAATCATTTTATACATAACATAAATAGCTCTTTGGAAAACAATGAATTTTGTCTGGATTGACAAGCTAATGGCTAGTCAGTGGGGCCAAGATAAAAGTTGAATGTTTTTAAACATTTTTATAAAATACAATGTGCAATACATCTTTAAATTTCTTGCCAAAGTGTCCTAAGACATGCATTTGCATTTGTAAAACAGCATAACAGTGTTAAGCAAATATTCCCGTATTGTCACAGTATTAGCAATAAGGTTTATACAATAGTATTTGCATACATCGCTACAATTTTAAAAGAATTTATTGTTTTAAAACAATGGTAATTCATTTTTTTCACTCTGACTAGCATTTAGCCCATCAATCTGGTCATAGTTAATCTTAATTTTCTCCAGATTAAAACTAGCTGTTCGTAGTCTTTCTTTCCATTGATAAAATATCTGAACTTTAAAGGTGGAATATGTAAGAATGAAGTAAGAATGACCTCCTGTGGTCAAATATGGGTACTGTGGTCCATTTCCATAAACCAAAACTTACTTTTATCAATTTGTAGCAAGTACAACAATGATTTATGACTTTTTGAGACTACACATGCCTCCATTCAGCAGGGGTTCTTTAATTGGTCTCCTTCTTTCATTTCTACACTTCTTCAGTGATTACTTCAGACAGAAAAAGGTGGTGTAGCTTCACTTGTGTTTCAATAAAAAATAAATGGCTGCCAATTTAAAGACAAAATGTCCTGTTGCACATCTGCACACTGCCTCCTTCGCTGCTCCCACCATCTGTAATTCTGCATTTTTTTGAGAGGGTGAATTAATTTGCACCGCACATAGGTGACATCAATGTGAGAGCAGCGTCTCAGGTTTACATTTTTTATTTCCAGTTGAGAACTCAAAGCCAGAGCAATAGATGTTGAAAAGCATTAACAACCACAGGTCCAGGACAAACTCCAAACTCCAAGCTGCTTGAATAAAGGGGTTAAATCGATATTCAGCTGAATACAGCTTCAGGTGAAACACGGAGAAGAGCTGCTGTTTGATGTTAGCACAGTGTTTGATGTGTAGACGATAAAATGCTTGTTGATAAAAATATAAAAGTGGGAGGAATTCAGCAGAGCGGCGTTCAGGTGGTTGAGGGCAGTGTTTCTGTTGTTGCTGCATCCAGTGATTAAAAATCTGAACAGATACCTGTGATACGAGGGGGCATCCCGGGGGCTGGATTCTCAGGTCAAACTGTGCAGGATGCCTCCAAGCCAGATTTACACTCTGCAACAGACTATAAAATGGTAATTGTTTTAAATGTACTACCTGCTCAGGCTGGTGTGTGTGAGCTCTGAAGAACACAGCAAAAGGCATGTCAAGTGGGCAAAAACCATTAAAAAAAGAAATCTTTTGAATATAATTTTATGGAAATATTCTTGCTTTAATTCTAACGTTCTAAAGATCTTAGTTCCAGATGTTCGTCTATCTTTGCATGGAAAAATATTTACAACCGACTCTGAAAAAATAGGATTAAAATGGGGGAAAATAAATAAGACAAATGAAAGTAATCAAAGGATTCCCATTAGAAAAGAGAATAGACAGAAACAGCAGCACGAAAAGAAGCCAGTGAGGAAGAGGAGGATGAACAGGAAGTTGCAACAAAGCCAGCCTGAACAGGTGACTTTTCATCTGTTTTTTAAAGGAGACCACTGAGTCCCAGTGGCGGCTGGTGACGTTTTTTTGCGGTGGGGCGCAGTTATGCCATCTGTTAGATGCACTTACCACATTTCACCTATAGGGGATGCCAAATTACCATTCTTATGATAGAATGGCGAGGCTGCTGTACACACAGGCAACACTGGCCTCTCCAAGCACCACCAGCAGGCAACGGAGGTGTAGCGTCTTACCCAATAACACAACGACTGATACAGACGAAGCCAAGGTTCAAACCAGCAACCCTCCGGTTACAGGGCGAACTCCTAACCCCTGAGCCAACACCACCCTGATTAAGTGGTTGAATGGGCCTTATCTTTGTGGACTTCTACCTGATTGCTGCCATTTCTATCCTGAAAATGACTACAAATCCTGGGGAAATGGCATAACATCTCATACAAACTGCAAGACACTTGTAAGGTTTTGTTGCTGCATTTACGAAATGGATAGGTGCTCACCACAAAGTTTAGAAAGATCTAAACAGGAAGTAAAGAAAAAAGAAAATTGTCCCATTTTAAAACCCAGTCATCATCAAACATGGGTGAAATTACTTCTCCGCATTTGGGCCATTTCCGTGCGGAGCGGTGAGCTGCAGCTGTGCTCGGGAACTGATTGATTGGTGGTTTAACCACCAACCCCTGATTTAAATGACACAGAGAGACTGTCACAAGGGATTCAACCTGCTTGGAGATGGTCCTCTAGCAGTTTCCTTTAGTATGCTGGTCAGTAATGATCAGTGGACTCAGTGGTCTCCTTCAAAAAGCAGCGGAAAACTCACCTGTTCAGGCTGGTTTTTGCGTAACCTTCATCACCACCCTTTCCTTACACTGCTCTTTCTACTTATTCCGCCTTTTCCAATGATATCCCTCTTTCCTATTCATTTTCTCTCTCCCTTTACTTACATAATTTTTTAATCACATTTATAGTCATTTTTTAGCCATTTTTTAAAATCTTTTTTATACTTTCATAGTTTTTTTACGCCTTAATTTTGTAGTATTTATTTTTCAAATTATCATGCTGAACTACAATTAAAAGCCATTTCTGACTTTCATTCATTTTTATTTTAGTCATTTTCAAATTAATTCAGGTTTGTTTGTCTTTCTTTTGGGGGGTACTGACAATTTTATCCATCCCAAAATCATTAAAACATGTCAAACTCAATGCAAAGGCAAGCATGATCAAGTGTTTATTAATACATCTATATATGCTTTAAATACATTTGGCAATATGAAGTGGTGAAACTTCAGAAACGCTGCTAGTTGTCGCACAGTTAAAGGCTACATAATCATCAAAACACTTGAAAAATGTCCTAATGGTTAAAAATAAATACTTGAGCTCAACCTGTTCAACCACTGACGGCTCAACTCCTTTTTGGATTCACTGCACACATCCAGGGGTATTTAAACATTATGTATAATTTTATAATATCTGTATTATTCTATGTGTAAAAAAAGTGCCATCAATGAAAAGTACCACAAAAGACCAAATTCACCACTACAGCAATGTGTGAAAACACTCCACGTACCCGTGAGACGCAGCAGAAAGCAGCTCTCCTCATGTTTGACACCTGACCCCAAAATTCCACTACCTCCGCTCCGCCCCCGCCTTCCGCAGCCGCTCGCTTCCGAACACAATTTTTACTGGTACCCGCTCTACAACGGCTCCGCTCCGGTGCAGAGACCTGAGGTGCGCAAACAGGCATGCGCGGGATTTTCGAGATCTTGCGATACAGTCCGAGCAATAAACGCGGAAGTTAGATCCAAACACCCGTTGTGTGGGAGAAGCATCGAAATGAACTGTTTAATCTGCCCATCATTTGTGTTGAGAGATCAGCAGTGCTTGGATCAACAAAGGCTGACTACTTTGATAGTGGAAACTGTATTTATGGCTTATTTTTGTGCATTTAAAGTTCAACCGCCATTGAAAGTTGTTAAAGGTTGTTAAACCTGTGCATATGAAATGAAAAACGCTTTTTGTTTATCGATTTATTGTGAAATAATGGAAGTTGTGCTTGCTCCTTTTCCTGTTGGGCGGTTGTGATTTCTGTCCATTGACTGCGGAGGTGCTCCGGCGTCTGGCAAAAATAGAATCGATCCTATTTTGCCGGATGGCGGAACGGCGGCCGGCGCACTGCCGTAGTGGTGGAACAGCTCTGATTGACTACAACAGGACCGATTTTGCTGCGGAGTTCGTGCCGGAGCGGAGGTAGTGGAATTTTGGGGTTAGTCTGCTTTTTTGTATTTGAAGAGTTGACGTATAAATCACAGTATGTAGTGCTTGGGTCAGTGCCACATCCAACTGAGGTTAGCTGACCTCCACTCCATCCCACCCGTTTTCTACGTCCTTTAACACTTCCCTCATACCTGAGTTCAACAACAGCACTCGGGCTACGTATTCTTCTATTTCAGTTTCTTCTCGTTTTTTTTAACTAAACATATTCATCTCTGTTTTATCAGTCACTTTTCTTGCGACCAGTCTTGTTCAGCACCGTGTTCAGTTCATTTAGAAGGCTGGCCGGCATGAGGCCTTCCCCACACGGAGGCGGCCGTTTGCCGGGTGTTTTCTGACACATTTGAGGTGAGACTGGTATCGGTGTGGCCTGCGAGTGTCTGGGACAGGACGGTGAAGGTGGCTTATGTGGTAAGCACACATCTGAGGGCATTCTTCTCTGAGTGGCCTCGGGGGTGCTGAACAGGTCACTGGGCTCTGGGCACATGGGCAGAGTTCGGGCTTTGGACTGGACACCGGAGAATGTAGCCGCCTTTGGTTCTCCATCGCTGAGAGAAACTGTCCGGTTTAACAGCTGCGGTAAAACCTGCAAGAAGTGCATCTACTGAGATCAACTGGATACATGTCAAAACACATTTCCTGCTGCTAAAGCCAGAGCATCTCTGAACTGTGAGTGTTGGAGGCAAGTTGGAGAAACACAAAATCGTGGAAAAAAGAATCTAATATTCAATTTTAATCACACCGACTCGGCACATTTGATAATTTTGGGTCAGATTGTGTATAAAGCCAGATTTTGTGGGATTTTCGACATTATTGTCAAAACATTAAGACAGTCAAGCCTTCTTCTGGGTCACAGTTTACTCTAGTTGTATTTTGGAAGTGGTTTAAAATTTATTTCATTTTCTGTCTCACAAAAAACTAATAAAATAAAAATCAGGGTTTCCAAGCAACTCTGATTATTTAAAGGGAAAAAAATGAATCTCGCTAATTATATGAATATCTGCACCGTTTCTGTGAGATGACGACAAGACCCAGCAACTCACATGAGGATCTTTACAAACCATTGACCCATTTCTAGTATCGTAACCTTCAGGTAATTTTACTGGAGCTTCACAGCATACACACATGTCCATTTGATCCGGCCGCCCCAAAAAGACCACTGTCTGGGCCGTTACAGGGACCAACCTAGTATCTTCGTTGCTGGGAGTTTAACTTGAGCTGATTGGTTGTAACTCAGTAGGAAATGACATCAGCAATTCCACCAAACAACCAGCATTTCTAAAATTGGAGGGGTTACTGGTGAAGCGGAATAGAAGGAAAAGGCAATAAGCGGGTTGATGCTAGGGAAGCACTGAAAATATGACTTCCAAAAATTTTTCAGCCAAAAGATCTAAATCCCCGAAACGACAAGTCAGGTGAACCCCGTATTCATTCCATCTTGCTCTGACCTCTTGTGGCTGCTTGCTTCATGAAATATATTCATACAATTCGGGTCTGGTTTGTTTTGAGCATAATGATAAAGTAGTGAAGACCAATGTGCTGCACACATTTTGTAAGCAAATAAAAAACGATGGTGTACTCAGGGTCAGAAAAAGAAGAGATTATGATTTTAGTACCGTAGAAACTTCTTTGCTACTCTCAGAATCCACGTTGTCCTCACAAGCACACTCCATCAAGAACATATCGTTATATCTGTCAGTTGTTGCACTTGTTCTGAATGCACTTTGTTGTAGTCTGTAGTCCTACGCAGAAACATTTAAAAGGCGCTTGACACTTTGTCTTTTTATTAGAGACCATATCTAATTTTACATTGATTTTATTGGGTTAGTACTCATTGTAGCCATGCATGCTATGGTTCTAATTATTGTTACAATCATTATTTTGGGGTTTGTGTTTTCAGCCTTGGTTTCTTCATTCCCAGTTTTTGGTTTCGGCCAAGAATTTCCATTTCGGTACATCCCTAGTTGATGCCACTTTAAAGTCACAGTTTCTAAATTCTAAAATTGGGCTGCATGGTGGCGCAGTGGTTAGCACTGTTGCCTCGCAGCACGAAGGTTGCAGGTTCGAAACTCGGCTGCGACCTTTCTGCGTGGAGTTGCGTGTTCTCCCCATGCATGCGTGGGTTTCCTCCGGGTACTCCGGATTCCCCCACAGATCACAACATGCCCTATAGGTTATAAATTGTAAGTCGCTTTGGATAAAAGCGTCTGCCAAATAAATAAACATAAACATTAATTCCCAATGTCAAAAAAAATTTGAAATGTCAAGTTTAAACAAAATAAATGTCCTTACGGGTTTGTTGGAGCAGTGATTGTATAGTGGAATCTTGGTGCTCTCTGACATAGCACCCCCTCTGGAAACTATGACAGCGGCTTCTTTTGACTCTACGCCCTTTGAAAGGAGGTCAGATCCAAACTGAAGAAACAGTAAATATTGTAATTAGCAGTTGTTCAATGCAGGCAACAAAGACAGTTCATGTTAATTCACTGGTCTTAATAAACACTTCTGATATTTTTCAACTGCACAACTAAAAATCGTGATACAAAAACTGATTGATAGACAAAAACTTGCACGAGACTAAAGTTTAGTGAGAAAAATTAAAAACAAAAAACTAATCAGCATTGATGTTAAAGTTTGTGTACAGCTGAAAGATGAAAAATTAAAACAGTAATTCACTAAAAAGATAAAACTACTTCATAAGATAGACTCATTCTATGCAAAGCCAGATATTTCAGCCTTTATTTGTTATAATTGTGATGAATATGGTTAACAGTTTATGAAAACCCCACATTCAAAATCTCAAGAAAATGAGACTATTGTGAAAAGGTTCAGTATTGTAGACTCAAAGTGTCATTCTCTAATCAGCTAATGAATCCAGAACCAGGGTTCCTGAGCCTTTAGATGGTCTCTCAGTTTAAGTTGGATTACTGATTAAAAGAGGATTTTTGCATCATATTCTCATTTTCCCAGTTTACCTGTATTCATATGTAACAGATTTTATGACATTAATAAAATGAAGCCAGTGAAGAATTTGGCTTCCAGTAGGACATAAACCATTTAAAACATGAAACAGAAAAAAATGCTAACACGCTGCATTTTAACTAGAGGTTGACCGATATTGGTTTTTCTATTGCCGATACCGATGCTACGTAGGAGACATGGTCAGCCGATGGCCTCAATGTACTGCTAATTTTTAAGGGCAGATTTTTCGTGTCTGATATCAACAAATTTTACACCTTATCTTCATGCTAAAATGTCACTAATGACATTAGTTGATGCAAAAGATCTCTGATGCTGAATCAGTTTTTGAATTAACTGTTAAATTTTAACTTCTTGCACTGCTCAGTGTTAAAGTCTGACACATAAATACAGTTAATTAAGAGTATTTATGAAACAAATGTTATTAGTGAATGTAAAAATACATTCAAATAAAATTCTGCAGCAGCATTGGGCTGCCCGAGGATGCGCCTGACTTTAAATTGGCTTTACTAAGGACAAATATCGGCAGAAGCAATGTATAAAAAAACAGTAAATAACGTCCTGACATATCGGCTTACCGATATATTGATCTACCCCTAACTTAACTGTATAACATGCTGTAATAGTGTAAAGATGGATTTGTTTTTGCCACCTGTTGTACTTGGGTTGTGCGAGGGAATCGTTACAGTCGGTTTTGGGACATTTGTAGTATTCTTGTTAAAGAAACAGGATTTAAATATGACACTTTTGGAATTTTAGGGTTCCAGAAATTTTCTATTTTTCTGAAGAAAAATGCTTAAAAATGTTAATAAATAAATAAATAAATAAACAAATAAATAAATAAAATAAAAACTAACAGAAACATTCTCACAATAAGTTACATCTTTGTCTAGTTGTCCAAATGTCCAAAATTCTAAATTACTTACACTTTTCTGCAGTGTGACACGTTTAAAATTATTGCTAGAGGTTTTTTTTTTTTAAAAGACAATACAGTTTTCGAGTTTTGTAAACATTAAAGATCAGTGCTAAAACTTGTTAACAAAAGAATGATCCAATATGCCAACTTCTGCCCCATGGAGTCACTTTAGAAACAGTTTTAAAGTATCTCACCACTATTTTCTCTCATGGTTTGCATCAGAGTCTAAGAGAAAACTAGCTTCAGTAGCTTTACGACCATCAACCGCTCACTTATCTAAATGGACTATGATGTTTCTGGCTTGACTAGAAAAGTCTCCTGTAAAATGGGTCGGAGATGGGTTTTGCAGTCCAACTAAATTCTGCTCTCTGGCTAAACTTTCACTTTAACAATGTCTTCTGTTAAAATCACCGTGACCTCCTCAGACCTTCACAGCTGTCTCTCCTTAACAAATCCTTATTCCATCGCCGCTAGGACCTGTCCTTGGACCTTTTGCACACGCCCCCCCAACCTGCACCACCACCAATACTCATTACACCTGAGTTCAGATATCCTCCATTGCAAGTTGCTATGGAAACTGTGGGAGCACAATGCCGACTAGCAGGTAAGAGAAGAGAAATGAAGAGCGCTGAAGCTCTCTGCTTACTTTCTGCTCTTATACTTTTTTCTCTGCCCTTCGTGGAATCCCTCTCCACAAGCCTCTCCGTTGGAAGCCGACAGTCCTAATATTTAGGGGATTTGGCTGGGGGGAGAACCTAATATTTTTTGCCGGCTCCAGCCTGTTTAGAGCATCTCCAAAGAGCGGAGGGGGAGAAAAAATTTAGTACTCGACTGCAATAAACACCTTGAATTCGTTGAAACAAATATCTTCCTTCACTTTAGATCAATCTCTCCCTGACAGTGTTGCCCTTTTAACTCGCTAACCCGAACTAAAGCACTAAAAGGCTTTCACGGTAAGCACCTGCGATCTAAACAACACCGCTGCAGCAGATGAGTTCCCATAAAGTGCTGGTGAAATGTGCTGAGAATACAACAATGCTGGGACATCTTCGTTTGATCTCTCAAGTTTAGGGAAACATTTCCACTTTGTGTCATTTACATAAAAATGAGCAAAACCTACATGTGTGTGTTCACTCTAATGAGAAAAGGAGGTCCCGTTTCATGTGAAAGAAGGGATAGCAGCTGTGAACGGAAAGAACGATCAGAGAATAACTCCCTGTGTTTGCTTTGCCCTGCATTATTTATGTCATATGTGCTGTGTCAGCGGCTGACAGTGACAACACAGCACTCTATCTGGGGCCTAAGTACCACAATGTGATTGTTACAGTCGCCTTGACCTTATTTTTACAGCTTTTCCACATAAAGTGATTTACGCTATTGTGGAGTGACCTCGAAAACTTTCCAGTTCTTTCCCTCTTTATGTGTTTAATCCGTCAAGCGGTGCGACAAAAACAGATGATCGAGAGGGGAATTACGTTTATTAGAGTTCATCGTGTACATTTCTTCTGCGGGGCTTCCTGAAGGATAAACTTAAATCTTACATACAGACTTTTCGGTTCCATGCCATCTTACCTTCATGGTGATGATGTTTGTCACCCAGCTGACCTGCGTCTCCTTTGTGTCGCAGCAGAAGTGCCTGAGGAGAGAAAAGCTGATTGGTTTGGTCCTGTTTAATTCCAGGTGACTGGATTTGGTGAGTCATAGCACCAGTCTAGGGGGATGCATGGATGATTATCAGAAACAGACTTGACCAGAGGAGGAGTTTCTACCATTATCCATCAATAGGTATAAAAATCAGTTTCTTTTGCAGCATGGATTAACGCTGCAAGTAATAATCTAGGATGACGGCTTAAGTAATACCTGCCACCAACTCAGGTCTGCTGCTGTAGTCAAGTACTGCACCCTTGTGGGACTGAATGCTAACGTCGAAGACGTTCATGTTATAGGAACCAGACTATAAATGTAAAAAGAAAAGAAGAAACTGACAACAAAGGAAGTCTAGCAATATGACAGAAAAGAATAATGTGTATGGTGTTCGCCATCTCAGTTCAAAGTGTTAGCTTGCTAACACTTTGAACTGAGATATCTTTTTGGGATTTGAAACATTTTAATTATGACCAAGGACACTTGACTTTACTTTATTCCCATACATAATGGCGATCTCAAGTGCTCTGAAGAAAAGCAGGGCTTCGGCGAAGAGTGGTGATGTGATAAAATGGAAATACGGAGTAAAATAAGAATTTGACACTAAAACAAATTGGCTTAAGGTGAGCCAAGAGGAAAAGACTAATAAGAGATGAAAGCTCTTATTATAACACCGGTCAGTCATCTGACATCTAAATGGATGATGCTGGGAATCTTTTCATTGAGAATCTGAAGCTGCACAATGGTAAACAGGTCAACCTGTCTACCACAGTGTGAAACATGAAATAATATAACAAAAATTTAGTTTTTAAAAAGGATTGTTTTCAGCTAAAGTAATTATAGCAACCATTAATTAATATGTTTTATTTTATTATGTAATTATTTAATGACATACCAGTATTAAACTAGCCTTGCCACCTGAAGGGCCTCCACCAGAAGGTGGTAGGTAAGACACTAGATGAAAGGACTAATTCTAATACTTTATTTTTACACTTTACGCCCAGAAGTGGTTTGATACAAGTTTGCATCTCAAATGGAATATAAACACAAACTTTAGGACTTGATTTGTTTGATTAAGAAACATTGTTCCATGGGCAGGATGTCCCATAGCAGCTCTCATTGTATAATGAGTCTTCATGGTTTTACTGCCTATAAACTTGTTTGAATTCAGTAGGCAATTACAGGTCATTTAGAAATCTATGGGCCTGAAATTATGGTTGAAAATCACTTTTTAGTTTAATCCTATTTCCTTAATGAATTAAGTAGAGTGGAGGTATTTCTCATGATTAAATATATAAACTTATTTAAAAATGGATGCAATAATAGAAATGATATGTTGATTTAATTAACAGGACACAAACAGTGTCACAATAACAACTGTGGTCTTGCCTCCATAAGGAAGAAGGAAGACATTTGTGATTCTGCCCAAGTCTCCATGCTTAGTAATGCAGACATTTGCAAATATTTCTATAAAATAAAATTACTTAGTATGTAATGCATATACCTACTATATGCTTCTACATAAATATATTTACACTAAAATCCTTCTGTTAAAATTGCCCAAATGAAGACATGTGTAGTGAGAACTGTATAAGTCCGAACCCACAGCCTTGTGGAACACCACATGAAATTATGGAGGAAGCAATGCATTATAAACAAACTGGAATCTCCCTGATTATACCAGTTTAAGCAGTGATTTAATCCCAAAGATGTGTTGATTTATTAGCATAAAACATTGTAACCAGTTGTGTGAAAGGCTATATTAATATTCGACATAATAAGCCCATAGAGAAGGTCATTATTAGGGGCATTAAGAAACTTGTTTATAATTATAATTTCAGTTTTGTAGTGTACTCTAAATCCATACTAATTTTATTTTCTGCAAATGAGAAATGAGCCGTTTTAAGATGACGCACATGAATGCTAAAAACCATTTTCAAGGGAAAGGAAAGTCAGATATTCATCTGTAGTTGCTTAGAAGATAAGGATAAAGAGTTGGCTCTTCAAAGTATGGTTTAATTAAAGCCAATTTGGAGGTCTGTGGGATATAATGAGATAAAAGGCAAAGATTGATCTGTTTAAGTACAGAGGTGTTGATAAGGGATCTTTAAATGGTCCAGCAGGGATGGAATCCAAAAGATGTTTTGATCGTTTAAAAGCTCTGATTGTCCATATCAATAAAAAAAGAAACCTTTGGAATGAAAATAAATGTGTCTAAATGAGTTTTCTTCTACACTTAAAGATGAAAACTATGCTTACTCTGGGAAGAATGTTTTCCCTCTCTAAAAGTCAACAGGTTACCAAAATATCACCGAATATGACTAATGTTGTTAAGTGCACCACTCAAGTAATAATAGCTGTGATTATTGTGCGATTTTGATTTTGTGTGAAGAGTTGTGCCAATCACATACGAGAGAATGGATATAAATTACCTACATTTATTGTAAAGTATATGCTATTTTGCTTCATTCCTGTGTAAACTAACAGTTATAAGTGATATCTATTAATTGATACATGCTCAGTGCGATAAAAGTGTTTGCTCTCCTTACTTATTTTTTGGCCTCACTTAAATGTTTCAGACCAGCAAACAGATTTCAAAAATCAGACAATGATAATTTGTATAAACACAAAAAGCAGTTTTTAAATTCTAATTTAATTTATTAAAGATGAGGTCACTGAGAAACCATTTTTTACTTTTTCGGTTACTCTGAGTTAAACATGCAGGCTAAATGTAAAAATAGTCTCCTACACCTATTCACTGCATCAGCTTCTGTTCGGGTCAGAAAAGCCTGACAGATCTACGTCACACTGTCACCTAACATTCATAGACTCACCCATCCTGACTCACGACAGGGAAGGTTGTTGTTGGTTTAGCGTCCAGGAAAAAACAGAGAACATCTCGGCTAGTGGAAGCTAACCGTTAGCATTAGCAATATGGCAGAAGTCCTTCAGGCTTGTGCTATTAGTTGATATAAAGCGTCCACATTGCAAAGCAAACAGACTGATAGAGCTGTAGCGAAGCGTCAATGACGTCAACGGCTCGATTCTAAAAATTCATCGACGTCAGATCAGTAGCCGACGCACCACGCCCACTTGTTGCATCCCCAGGAGTTTGTAAATAAAGGGGGAATCTGTCTGTTTTTCCTCTAGTTTGCTTCTCTGCCTTTAACATCTCCGCCAAATACCGAAGTCCCAGAACAACGTCCGTCTGCTACTAGATTCCTTTCCTGTTTTGCCCCTTCATCTCCCGGCAACGGACAACAACTTCCGGGGTCAGATGCGCTGCTCCGTCTCTATCGCAGATGTAGAAAATCACCGGGAGCGTTTCTCCCTTCATAAAGGAGCTTCTTTCAGACATTAGGAGAGCTGTGTTTGTGGTAGCAGTCTCTCCTCCGTGCTGGTCTGTTTGCTGCTGGGTATTTTTAGTTTATTTAAACTTGGTAACTTGAACTTAACATTGGTAAAGCTACTGTTAGCATTTTTGCTAACAGCTAGTTGTGTTTGGATAAGCTGTTACGTTTTGGTTTTGAGTTCATCTTTTTGTGGTGTAGATCTCCCTTTTATTACATTTAGAGTGTTGTGGGTTTTCGGTTTAGTTTAAAATATCACCTTGAGTTTGGTTTAACCACCCAGTTTAGAGTTTGGAACTTTGGAGATCCTTATTTTGGTCCAGAACCCTGTAATATTTGCCCAGTGGGACATCCCTAGTTATTTGTACTTTTGTTTTTATTCCCCACAGGCAGAATTAGTTTTATTATTCCCAACCTGTGGATGGAAAGATTTATGATTTTTTGTAGTTATAAATAAACCTGGTCATCATTTTAACTTTTAAATCCCACGTTATTGTCCCTTCCTTTTTGCACACAAGCCAAACTCCCCAGGAAGAGTCGTAACACCACTCGCCTCACGCACATGTGACCAAAACAAAGCAGTATGGAGACACTCCGTCTTCAACCACCTCTCAGGCAGCAGCCTGCACTCCCAAGTTCTACATGTCACCAGAACATAACCAACCAACACAATTAAAGCAGTGTTACACAAAATGGAAGGCCTGTAGTGTTTATTCTCTTACAGTAACAATTTATCAATTTTGGGGGGAATTTATTTGAGATTTTCTGGTTTTTGTTAATTGTGCTGTAGAAAAATAATTGTTAGATTAATCGTCTAAATAGTCATTAGAATAGTCGACTATTCGATAAAATAATCGCCAGAATAATCGTTTTAAAAATAATCGTTTACCCCCAGCCCTACAGACTGAGCAGTAGAGCTGTGTTGTTGTTATTCAATCAAAGGCGAGATATCCGAATATCAGGAAACAGGACTTCAAATCCCGCTGTGCTCTACTCCCTCCTCCTCTGGCTCACCTCATAAGGTGTTCGTTTACACTAGAGACCACGGCAAATATCTTGAAAAACAAGTGAACTTTGACTCTAAACTCCTTTAAAACTGAGCATTTTATGTTGCTTTTTGAGATCTTTTAGCCTCTTCTGATGGATGTCCTTATCCCACAGATCCGATAGTAACCACAGGTATGGGTGTGGCTAGTAAAACAGAACTCACCTTTTTTCACTGCACTTTACACACACCAGTGAGCAAAGGCAGACTAGAAATCTGATGGGGAAAAATAGGTAGGACTACTTCATTTCTTGATTTTTCAACAATTTTGCTTCAAGAGTTGGGTTTGCTTGCTGTGCAACAATGTTTACGTGGCTGATATGAGTCAAGGTGATGCCCACCTGACCAGAAGAATCCAAGCTGTCCTGGCAGGACAGAATAGCAACAATATTCCCTCACCTGTCGGTTTTAACAGTAAGTGGATTTCTAGGAGTTGACCACAAGCAGCCTCTTACCATATGACCCCCTTTAAAACATTTCAAATACATTTCTCATTAAAAACCCACTTAGGCCGGGGACACACCGGCCGCGGAAGCGCCGCGAAAATGGGGCCGCCTTCATTCGGCGCCCTTGTTGAGCTATTCTATAGACCACATGGGCCGCCGAAGCGCCGCGAATCGCCTCGCGCCGGCGCGTGCCGGCGCCCCAGCCCGCACCGTGCAACAATCATTTCGGCGTCGGCTCTATTTTTTTCGCGAGCCGCGGGTAAATCGCGTCAATTCTGGCAGGAAGTCAAACCTAGACATAAGAGGCAGGCCGGTAAAGTTAACAAAATAAAGCATTTCAAAATAAAATTCCGCAATAGTCAAATGTGTTCGTAATCAGACACTGCAGAAAAACCACACGAACACACACACACATCGAACTTGTGTGCGTGTGTGACCACGTGAAGGGGTGTGTGGTTTTGGGTGTCTTTTCACCGGAGCAAACAGGACAGAGAGGCAGAAAGTCTGAGGCAAGCAGTTAAGATGGATGATTTTAAATTAATTATGGAAGTTGAGAAACACAAGGAGCTGTACGACCCCCGAAAAACATGGTTATTTACGTACCCATTTAGGAAGAAACTGCTAGGATACAGCTGCAGAATTGGAGCGGGTTCCAAGAGATTCAACTGGCAGAAACAACTCATACCATAGGTTCACTCACACACACACACACACACACACACACACACACACACGCGCGCGCGCGCGCGCGCACACACACGTAGAGGAAAATAGCTGAGAAAAGGCAGAGAGGAAATGGAGGACACCAAGTGTTTTAAAAGAAAAACTACAGCTGAGCCGAGGCGCGCCTCGACTGGGGCGCGTCTGATCTGAACTGAGAAGCGGCGAACAGCGGCCGAATTTCGTGAGCGATTCGCTTCTCGGCGCTTCGCGGCGCTTCCGCGGCGCTTCCGCGGCCGGTGTGTCCCCGGCTTTAGATTCGCTCCAAATCTCTTTTTAGGTGGAGAGTGAAATTTGAAACTATGAATTAATGAACTCAAGAACTTTTACTCACCACTGATGTTTATCCGTGTACACTGTGAAGCCCCAGCTGCAAAAAGACAAGAGGTCAGAATTGGGAAATTTGGCCTCTTTAACTTGAAGACAAGTTTATAAACACAATTCCAGACTTCAAATCAATACAAATATTAAGCTGAGTGAGTGTGGCAAAGATAACAAAAGGTCAGAACCGTTTCACAAGCGTGCAAGGAAACACACACACACAGAAGTTTTCATCGAAAGCTGAGTGCTTAGCTGTGGGATTCATTAGTGCAGTTCCATCCTCTATAATTATGTATGAGCAGCCATCAATGTGCTCCAGGCCAACTGTACAACGCACCACTGCTCACCTACAGCACGGTGTTGATGAACGTTTCAGAGACACTACCAAATGTAGTCCAGCAAATGGACTTTAAAAGACCTCAACCAGGAGGAAATAAGACTTAATATGAGGTCATTACACATTTAGAGGCTGGGAACTAAATTAAATGATCCTCTGGACACTTCAATGGGTAAAGGTTAATGCTGTGAAGTGGTTTAATTGCTATTAATTTTTGTAGTTAGTGATAATTATTAGTTTAATTGTGCATTCAGAAACTGTTTAAACTGTATCTCAACGCAAAGGCTGCCATGTGAAGAAAGGATGCACAGTGGGTAATTAGAATTCAAGATAAATCCAGGTTTAAGAATAATGTGGCTCGACACACGGGAGGCGACATCGCCTCTCCTCCATTCATTTTCAATGAGACATGCGCGACAAAGCGATAATCGCGGGTCTCCCTCCTACCAAGCGAAACGCGAAAAGCGTGCGTGTGAAATTTTGCACTCGTGCACGTGTCGTGCACAGGCGACTCAGCGACGTGATACCAGAAAGTTGAAACATTTTCAACTTTTCATCGCTGTCGCTCGGACGAGGACCAATCAATGGAGGTTTCATTCACTGACCAATGAGCGGACAGGATGCTCCATACACCTCCGAGCAAACATGGAGGAGAAGTTGATTATTATTATGTTTATATAGTAAAATCAGAAGTAAGATTTCACATAACTCTAGCAGCACCTTGTGAAACATCGTATCTACCGCTTTATTAACTCTGAACCGCTTAAAAAACCTTAATTACCTCCAACCTGACACAGCCAAGCAAAACAACGGAAGTTTCGATTTCGCCATGGAACAGAACGCGTAGACGGCTTTGCCGCTGGCCGCTGCCGCGGATCGCCTCCCGTGTGCCAGGTAATAAAAGAGACGGCGACAAATTTCGCTGATCACGGTCGTTTGTCTCTTCCCATGTGTCGAGCCCATAACTGTAATGCAAATAAGTTTTATAGCATTCTGAGCCTTTGAAGCTCATGTATACAGAATCAGTGAACAAACGTGACCTTGATTCCTGCTTTATTAGTTTTGTTAAAGACGACAGGTTGATCATTCGATGACTTTAAAAAAAACAGGTTCTTTTAATTGATTTATTTGGTGAAACTGATCTGGAGTTTTCTTCTGTTTAAAGGATGATTATAGTGAATTGCATCTGTGTATGAAATATGCGGTATAAATAAAGCTGCCTCAGATGGTGCAGAAGTATATGACTAATGAATTACATTCAGCTTTCATATTCAGTACCAGGATGATGTTATGCAATTCACTGAGGAGGACGTCGACGACTCCATTCTAAAAAATGTTCAATGTCAAATCTGGGAGTCAACACACCACGCCCACTTTTTGCATCCCCAGGGGTTCGCCGATAGAGGAGAATTCTGCCTGCTATTCTTCTAGTTCGCACTCTTCTTCAACTCGGAAGAATGTTCGTTACCAGATTCCCTTCCTGTTTGGCCCGCCTTTGTCGCCCTGCAATGGACAACAACTCCCGGAGTCAGAGCCGCTGCTTCGTGTCTACCACAGATGAAAGAAATCACTAGGATAACGTTTTTCCCAGGCCCCCACAGTGCGGCTCCAAAATTGAGGCCAACCCGGAAGTACAAAAATTGCAGTTCCGCCCTCATCCACTAGGGGCTGGTGTCAGAAGCGAGCAAATCCTCATTGACTCCCATGTTAAAAATACCAATTTCACAGCAGAAATAAACATGTTTACAGCCTGGTACCAAAACATGTTTTTGGTTTAAATGATCTAGTTTACACTCATGACAACTCTGAGGGGGGTGAATTTTTTTCTCACTCTTCTGTTTAAGTGTATTAAAAGCCTAAAATTCTGTATAATTAATGAGCATTAGACACACGTGACCGCAGAGCTAGCTCCGTGGAAAGGCCTCAGTAGAGCATCGGTCTGGCTTGGAAACTGTTCCGGGATTTTGAGTCTCTGTGTTTGTGTATTCTTGTTTGGATATTATTTGTGCAATTGTTGGACAAAATGACTTGCTGTGGTATTAATTGCACTAATAGAGCGTCCAAAGTCTCCACTTCATTTTTTTCGGTAAGTAAAATTATATTTATGTATTTTAGGTCACTGCCGAGCTGAGCTTAGACTTTAACATGTACTGTTTAACCATGAAATTTAAATGTAATAGGGTAAAACCCAGTGCATTTAACATAATGCTGCACTTTAGAAAATGGGTTGAAATATAACATGTTGGTGGAGCTGGGTTCCGACTATCGGCTTGTGGAGCTCTCGGGAGACCGATGTTTTCCACCCGTTTCTCCCCTCCCCGCAGCTCGGCGCATCTCTGTCTGATCGCGGCTTCTGTCTGCTGCGCGGGCTGCCGGCTTGTGGAGCTCTGGGATGGAGACCTTTCCACCCGGTTCTCCCCAGCGGCAGCTCTGCGCATCTCAGATCGCAGCGGCGCTTGTCTGCTGTGCGACTGCCGGCTTGTGGAGGTCTCGGAGACCTCTGTATTCCACCCGGTTTTACCCAACGGTCAGCCCGGCGTATCTCTGACTCAGAAGCTCTGGTGTTGTGCACAGTTAACTCTGGTTGTAGCTGGGTTGCTACCTCCATTAGCTTAGCTCCCACCTCCGCATTAGCTTTGGGTTAGCTTCAGGTAAGCTTGTAGCTAGTTCGACCGGGTGTCGTCAGTTGATCCCAGCCTTACAGCCTCACCCCCAGTTCCACCTCTCTTCCCTTTTGTGGAATTGTCTGGGCTTGACAGAACCTGTGACACGGTCAAAATGGCGGTGGTGGCCACCTCCCATTTAGCCTCAAAAACGTGATATTGGAGCCTATGGAAATGAATTGTCCAGTATATATGTCGACGGTTTCTCCCTTCATAAGGGAGCTTCTTTCAGACATTCAAGGAGAGCCAGAGGTGTGGACTCGAGTCACATGACTTGGACTCGAGTCATTATTTTAATGACTTCTGACTTGACTTGATAAAATCTATAAAGACTTACGACTTGACTCGGACTTGAACGCCAATGGCGTCTGTTGACTTGATGATGACTTGAGCATATTTGATATTTTAGCACAAAAGTGGCTCGACATGGACAAAAATCATAAATCATTCTTGGTTCTGGGTTTGACTTTACGGCTTAATGCAGCAGCACTTTGTTTATAATCAGTTTCAGTTGCACGTTCTGCTTGTTTGTGCAAATAAATGAAGCTTTAAGAAGATTTCATTCTGGAATTTAGTTATTATCATTGTCATTAAATTGAAGTTGGACAGATGACTTGATTATGACTTGAAAATTCAAAGTTAAGGATTCGGACTTCCATATCATTTACTTTGGACTTGACTTGGACTTGACTCAAGACTTGACTGGAAAGACTTGTGACTTGCAAAGCAGTGACTTGGTCACACCTCTGAGGAGAGCTGTTTTGTGGAAGCAGTTTCCTTTGCGCTGGTCTGTTTTCTGGGTCTTTTTTGGTATATTTAAACTTGGTAACTTGAGCTTAACGATGCTAAAGCTACTGTTAGCATTTTGTAGCTTCTTGTGTTCCCTGAACATGTTTGAGGTCGGCACTCTTTTATGTTGATTTGATTTCCTATTTTTATTGGTCATTTTATCCCTTGTTTTATCTACTTGTTTTCTACTCTAATGTTTTAATCCTCTTTGCACCATTTGATTTGCTTTTATTATCTACTTATTTATTGTGATTTGCATTCCGCATCCACTGTTGTCCAGCGCCTTGGGCTCCCTGACAGGGTTGTGGAAGGCGCTTTATAAATAATGCTTTGATTGATTGACTGATTGGATAAGGTGTTACGTTTTGGTTTAGAGATTAGAGTTTATCTTTAGTGTGAAGTAGACCACCATTTTGTTTAAATTTATGGGCCATTCCCATCTGTACCAGGTTGGCCCGGGCCGGGTAGCCCCAGTCGGCCCCAGCCTGGCCCGGTTCATTCCACACATCCTTGCCTTAAGCCCATGTGGGCTGATTCTACCCACCAATCAGAGGCTTGCTCTAATGGAAGGTGTGAATTTGCTGTCAGCAGTGGGTGTGTTGGCCCTGGTCGGTCTGAAGCAGACCCCCTCGAGAAGAGGGCTGAGAATGAGCCTTGGTTGGCCCGGAAAAATACCAGGCCACCCAGATATGTAAACAACCTACGCTACCCGGCCCGGGCCGACCCGGTAGAGATGGGAATGGCCCATTTGAGTGCATGGAGAATGAAATGACTTTTGGGCAAGTGACGGTCTAGATTTCTAGGCTAATCATTTGCAGCTGTGGCCCCTCTGACTCTGGAGCTCTCTCCTCCTGAGATCAGTGGACTCAGTGGTCTCCTTTAAAAAGCTGCTGAAAACTCACCTGTTCAGGCTGGCTTTGGTGTGACCTTCTGGTCATCCTCCTCTCCCTCACTAGCTCTTTGCTGCTGTTTCTGTCAGTTCAGTATTTTTCTGGCTCTAATGTTTACGTTTATCATTTTTAATGAATTATTATTATTAAAAGTTATTTCTTTTAGTACCAGCGGTTTCAGTGTTAGTCAGGATCGGAAGCTATTCAAAAGCAAAAGTCACTGAATCAAAAAGAATCAAATAGATATTATAATGCAACTGTACACATCCTTGGTAGTGTTTTTTGTGAATACTTCTGAAGTTGAATGGTTGTCTCTGTGTGCTTCAGTATGAAATTAGTGTTCACACGGTGAGTACAAAGGTGGAAAGAC